GGCTGTCTGTTTGTTAGCCACAGATTTTAGCCCTATGGAAGTAGGAAAGAAGAGAAAGCAAGTGATGTGAAGTGTGAAAGAAAGGGAGATAGGACAGTAGGAAAGAAGTCATGGGCCCCAGAGCGCTTGCATCGGGTCTTTTTATTTAGACAAAGTGAAAGTTACAAATGGCACTCTGTTTGAGGCCTCTTGTACAAAGTCTGCTATAGACACGAGGTAAAAGACAAGGCCAAACTCATAAGTATAGCCCTTAGAATGAAATGAAAGAAGAGTAAAGGCGGAAGGGGGATAAGGGTGAAGGTGAGGTAAAGTGAGATAGAATAGAGGAAAGGAGCAACCTTAGGCCCATGGGATCCATGGGCATCCTGCATCGCCTTTATTGAACAGTAACACAAAAATACATAGAATACAAAAAGTAAAAATGATTACAGAATGATGAGTAATATACAATACACGGCCAAGATATACAGTACAAAATAAAATACATAAAAGCGGTTACATACAAAACAAACCGGACATTAAAGTTATAACAATATATATACAAATAGAAGATTTGGCTGCAACAGTTGCAAATGAAACCAGATGAAGGGTTGGGTACAAAAATAGGAGATAACTGCCACTGAAAAAAGTGTGAAGTAGTGCACAGGGGAAAAGTTGCAGTTATACCACGGCGGCACACAGCCAGGTAAGTCCATTGGGCCTGTCGAGAGCCCAAGTGCAATACAGAGAGGCTTGCACCTGGAACCTGGGACACAAACATGAGCACTAGAGAAACCGTAGAAGTAAGTGTAGAGCACAATAGTAGATGAGAGCTAGTTCAAAATGCCTATGTCATTGGCAAAGTTCCTAAAGGCCACAAAGATCTTACTGTTCTTCGTCAGAGTGTCCAGAGTGCAGGGCCAAAGCTCCTTATTATTGTAGACAGCATCTATTAGAAGCCTATGCTGATTGGAGTGTAGTGGGCAGTGGAAAATAATGTGGTAGGTGTCCTGATCCTCATTGAGGTCACAATCACAAATCCCATCAGTCTTGTTGAGGAACCTTCTTAAGTAAGTCTTTAGGTTGCCATGCCCGGTAAGCAATTGTGTAAGCTGGAACGTGATGCTGTGGTGGGGGTAAGAGGTCTTGGTAGGAATTTTAGGGAAAAAGCTGTACATAAGCCTGCCAGTGTCACAATTATTCCACCTTTGCTGCCAGGAGTTCAGGATGATACTGTGGATACTGTGCTTGAAATACGTGAGGCTAAGCTTGTTGTAGGAGACGAGTCCATTAGTCATTGGTGCAGAGCGGGCAAGGAGGTCAGGCCTCTCATTGCCGACTATCCCCGAATGCCCCTTTACTCAGTGAAAAGACACATTTACATTAATGCTCTGCAGAGCAATGATGGTGTTGAGGCTCTCATTAACGATGTGGAGACAGTTATTTAGCTTCACGAGTTGCTGAATAGCTATCTTGCTATCGCTAATTATGTGGTAGTTATTAACCATAAGGAGCTGACAATTATTCTTAATCCATTGTAGGGCGAGTAGAATGGCCATAGACTCGGCCTGGTTGTTTGTGCAATGCGGGACAAGCCTCCTCCGCAGCTGGTGTATACAATGATGCCTCTTATAGGCGATGAAGGCACATCCAACATTTGAGTCGCACTTGGAACCATCAGTGAAGATCCTAATAAAAGAGTTGTCGGTGATGGTAGTGTCGAAGTCGTACTGAATAGAAAAGCCAGGATGAATTCGAGGAGCGCCATACACTTTTTCAATACCGTTAGTGAGGGCGAGTTCGCCTATGTCGAGAATATCCTTGCTGAAGTTGTCATTGGAGACCATTTGATTAAATTGGCTAAAGGAGATCTTGTTATCCATCAATTTGAAGATGTTATACCTGATGAAAGCCTCCCTAACCTTGAGGTCGATAGGTAAAAGGTTGCACAGAACAAGGAGAGCTTCCGTAGGAGCGGTCTTATAAGCTTTGGCAATAGAAATAGCTGAAAACCTCTGAATGGAAAGAAGCTTTCTCTTGATGTGCACTCTAAGTGCAGAGGAGCTTCAGATTTCGGCCCCGTAGAGAATGACCGGCTCTATTGCAGCAGAGTACAGTATCCTGCTGGAGGATGGGCCGTACCCCCAGCGGTTCCTGCAAATGGATTTTAGGGCATTGGTAATCTTAGTAGCTTTGTGGTAGATATAGTGCACATGCTCAGTACAGTTGAGCCTGTGGTCGATCAATATACCCAGGTATTTCACTGAAGTAACGTTCTTAATCTTTATGTTCTGAAATTTAATACTGGGTCCTTTCTTTAGGGGATTGGCCTTAGAGAAAACTATTGCATTGCACTTATTATAGTTAATTTTGAGCTTCATCTTCTCGCTCCAATTTAAAATGTTGCCAAGTACATTGTTTACCCTTTGCTGTAAAATCTCATGGTTAAAATGGCTCATCAGGAGTACAGTGTCATCCACGTACCCCTGAATGAGCGCGTTATGGTCCCTGGGAATGGTGGACTGAAGCATGAGCAGGCCGTTGTACAAAATATTCCAAAGAAAGGGTCCAGAGTGGGAGCCCTGCGGACAACCCCTATGGATCTCCTTGCGCAGATGAATGTTGTTACCAGTTTTAGCAGTAATATGCCGGTTGTTGAGGTAGCTCTCGACCAAGTGAGTCTGCTATAGACATTTATAAGTAAAGAAGTTAGAGGGCTGTCTGTTTGTTAGCCACAGACTTTAGCCCTATGGAAGTAGGAAAGAAGAGAAAGCAAGTGATGTGAAGTGTGAAAGGAAGGGAGATAGGACAGTAGGAAAGAAGTCATGGGCCCCAGAGCGCTTGCATCGGGTCTTTTTATTTAGACAAAGTAAAAGTTACAAATGGCACTCTGCCTGAGGCCTCTTGTACAAAGTTAATTATATACAATATTTACAAAACTGCCTGACAATGTATAAACCTAGCTACCTACATTATAATATTACCCGTGAATAAAGCCATGCCACTTGCCTGACAATTACACATAGATTAGAAACAAAATATGACATACAGCAACAGAATAATTACCTAGGATAACTAAATATTAGCATAAAGTATGCCAAACCCATAGCTAAGCAATACGAAAAGCGACCCCATGACCAATCCTGCCCCATGACGATACCGCAGCCAGGTGCAGAATGTTGGCACCGACGGTATCGGGGCTCAATCCCAATTAAGCTAGAAAGGATTAATCATGGGTCACCACCGAGCAGCAGCGAACGATTACTCTTCTTCACTCTCTTCTGTTTCTTCATCTGTTGTGTCCTCCTTGATGCTGTTTTGGACACTTCCCTGAGTAGTTTCATTTCGCGAGTGATGATGAGGTATGATTTTGTCCGGCAGTAATGCCTTTGTATCACTCACAAATTTCTCAAAAGTTTTCCAAATTTGTTTATTGTTGAGAATCATTTTTAACTCCGGTGGCCAATTTAGTCCGTTTTGTACACACTCTCTGTAAAAGGGGAATCAGTGGTTTTCATATAGTTCACACTGGAACATAAAGTGCTGTGCATCCCCTATACTTTTGTGGTCGCAGCTGCATTTATTATTTTGTTTAAATTTGAACCTCGAACTTACCATGGTTTGTCAAACATTGGGTTGTACCTGGTTTCGGTTTATAATGTTTTATCCTCAGGCGGTGTCATATATCCGGGACAAATTCATGACATAGTCTACCTGTAGTTGAATTATTCCATTTGTTTTGCCATTTAGTTATGGCCCAGTCCATCAGTGAGTTTTTTAGCTTTGTTTTTGGGATTCTATTATAAGTTATATTACTATTCATTATACTTGCTCGTTTCGCTAACCAATCAGCTTTCTCATTCCCTTCTATCTCTTTATGTGCTGGGATCCAGCTATACTGTATTTCTCTATCTTGTTCTAAGTCTTGAGCTTCTCTAATTAATTTGTTCCTGAGTATTGTTGTTCCTTTTATTTTATTTACCGTTTGGATAGCTGCTTTGCTATCAATCAGAAACTTTATGTTTCCTTTATAAATGTGTTGATTTTTATTTATGTGATTTATTGCTCTATACAGAGCCCATATTTTTACCTGGGTATTACTGCATTCATTAGCCAATTTAAGGCTTGCCTGGTAATAAGTCCTGTTTTCTTTTCGTTTGACAATATTTATACCTGCTCCGACCCCCTTTTCTTGTCTTGAGCTATCGGTGTAAATCAATCATTGATAATGATTGTTATTTTCTGGGCTGTATTCCATAGTTATTTGATGATTCCCTTTCTTGGCTGGGTGTATTTCTAAATTTATCCTGTTGTCAGTTCTGTTTATCTCTTTCTTTTTTATGATATCAGGTATTTCCTTATAGTCTTCAGGAATCATTTTGATTTTCTTGTATCTCTCCATTTTATGAGGTGTTTGTTTCCAAAAATCTGTATTCGTGAGGATCCAATTCCAGGCCTCCATTCTTGCCTTTAGATGAATGGGTAAAGTGCCTGCCAAAACCAGTGTTGCGTCTGTGGGCGAGGTTCTGTAAGCCTTCGTTATCTTTAACGCCATTTTTCTTTGTAATGCAAGTAGCTGTTTTTTAACTTTATTATTGTTTGTTGCCTCCTGCCACACTGGAGCTGCATAAAGTATGGCTGGCTCTATTGCCAATTTGTATATATATTTTATGTTTTTAGTGTTCAAACCCCAGTACTTTCCACTTATCCAATTGACCAGGTTTATTCTTTCGTTCGTTTTCTTGTAAATTTCTTTTATGTGCTGGTGCCAATTTACCTTTGGGTCAAAATGTATATCCAGGTATTTTAATATTTTTACCTGTTTAATTCGTTCATTGTTCATTCTAAGTTTGATTGTTTTCTGCAGTGGTTTCCTTTTATTATGTCTTGTACACATAAGAGCCTCACATTTTTCATAGTTTATCGGGAGATCGTGTTCCCTACTCCATTTGTGTATGATATTTAGTACCTTATTTGCTTCTTCTGTGATTAAATCACAGTTCTTGTTGGCTATTAATATAAGCAAGTTGTCCGCAAACGTTTGAGCTTTGACCTCCTCATATCTATCAAACTCCTTTAGTAATTTATCAAACACAAGATTCCATAACCCAGGGCCACTTCTCTAGCCTTGGGGGCATCCTCTAGTTATCTTCCTTTTTATGTGTATGTGATTGGTATGAAATTCAATGTGTCTGTTATTCAGGTAACTATCCATTAGCTTGACTTCATTTTGAATACACTTTATACCTTTGAGATTTTTCATTATATCCTGCCACCTGAGGTGGTCAAATGCTTTTTTATAATCGATAGAGATGAGCAATGTGTGTTTATTCTGTTCCCACGCCTGATAAACAAATTCCTTGGCACTTAATGCTGCGTGCATTGTGGAACTATTTGGCCTAAAGCCAAATTGGTTTTTGTGCATATTATTAGTATTATGTAATCCCCAATTTATCCTACTTATCAACAGCCCATCTAGGACTTTTCCCATTGTAGAAAGAAGGCTAATTGGACTGTAGTCTTTTGGTTTTGTGGGATTTTCGACTTTGGGGATTAACTTAATGTTTTCAGTTTTCCAGGCGGTGGGAAAATAGTTTTGCTTAAGACATTCGTTATAAAGATACACAAATGCAATTGGAATCTCTTGGTATGCCTGCATTAACATTTCCGACGTTATCCCATCGGTTCCTGGCGCTTTCCTTTTCCTTTGAGTTTTTATTGCATTGCTTATCTCCTTAAATGTGAAGAGCTTACACGATTCGTTATCCTCCTTATTGTTATTCTCTTTCTCTCTTTCATTTCCTTTGTTTGCTTCCTTCTTACTTTGCATAATATCTTGTGGGAAATGGAATTGAAGAATTCTTTTTATGTTTTCTTCCATGTCTTTTCTCTCATTCTCTCCGCTTTCCCCTTTTCCTTCGAGTATATCAGGGATTTTAAGTCTCTTCCTATTTCTGAAAACAAGTTGGTAGGGCGTTTCCCATAGACCTTTAGAATTCGATTTTTCACAAAAGTCACGCCAAGCTTTACTTCTTGTTTTGTTAATAAGCTTCTTGTATTCTCTTATGAGTTTTTGGTATTTTTTATGCAATTCTTCCTTCAATTCTTTGTCAAGCACTCTTTGATATTTCTTCCTACTTTTGTTAACTTGTTTTCTTTTCCTCTCTAAGTCACTTGTCCACCAATGTGTTTTCTTTCTTTTAACCTGTTTTAATCCTGCTGACTCCTTACCAGCTTTTTGCATATCAGCTGTTATCTTCTCAATGTAAATATATATATCCTCCCTTGTTTTTATTTTTGGGAAGTTGTGTGACATCCAGTTGTTATTGAAGAGTTCCCTGTAGTTTTCCCAGTTCGTCAGCTTAACAGTTTTATGTGTGAGTACTCCTCTGAAGGGAATATGCTTAATCTGTGTGAAAACGTACCTATGATCACTTGCTGAGGTATCCAACAGCGTCTCACAGTTTTCGACTAACTGTGCAATATCCGACGAGACCAAACATACATCCGTCCAACCTTTAGCCTGTGACGTAAAAAATGTTGGATGTGTGGTCATGTTCACCGAGACCAGGTCGAACTCTTCCATTAGGTTTGCAATAAGCCTACCTCTCTTGTCTTCCTTTTCGTTATACCATATACCTGACTTGGCATTTATATCTCCTGCTAGTATGACGTTTTGAGAGTTTAACTTCCTGAGAGTCTGCTCTATCTCATTTACTGCTATTTCGTCCTCCATATAGGGCGATAGGTATACGTTCACTATGCAGATCGGGTGAGTTGAGTGAATGATTGCCGTTGTTATGATGTTAGAGGAAAGGTCTGGAATTAAAGCTATATCAACCTTGTTGTTTGCAGCAATGCAACTTTTAGGTTTCTTCTCTGTGCTCTTGTATAGTACCTGCCAGTTCCCCATTTTTACCACTTTTTTATCTACCATGTAAGGTTCCTGGATAAGTATTATATCCATTTTCAGTTTGTTTGCCTTGTGTAAAAGTAATGAACTGGGTGCCTTTCCCCTTTGTGTATTAATTTGCAGAATGTTTATCCCTTCGTTATCTTTGTTATTTTCTTCTCCGCTATCCATGCTGTCCATGCTGTTTTGTTGCTATTTTACAGAGTGTTTTGGTTACAATCCCTTAATTTCCGTAATCAATCCTCTTAATTATTTGCATTTTGTGCCTTGTTAGAATAGGGCATTCTGCACTAAAGGCATTGTGGTTGGTTGCTCTCTTTCTGTCCGGAGGGAGGTGTTTATTTTCTTTTTTGCAGTTTATGCATTGTGGTATTGTTTCTTTTTGTTGACATTCCTTAAATTTATGCGTCTTCGAGCAATGACTGCATGTTTGTTGTTGCTTACATTCCTTTGCTATGTGATGAAACCCACAACATTGATAACATCTTGTTATCGGTAGGAAGTCATCAACTCTTACTGTTGTCCATGACATTAATATATATTTATTTGCTATTAAAATATTTCTTATTCTAGGTGTCATTGTTAGTACCACATGCCTACTATTTTCTTTTATCTTCCCTTTTGTTATTGTAGTACTTATGTTACAATTGTCTCTTATGTACTCACTGTCTATATCCTTCCATATGTTATTTTGATTTATCATAGTTTCAACTATTTCCTCATCTGAGATACTCTGTGGAATATTTAGTAATATTACATGTGGTTTCTTTCCACCTGATAATTTACAAGTTATTTTATCCTTTATGTTTGATATTTGCTCTATTTTTTCTTTCAGTCTTCTCCCATCTTCCTCACTTCCTACGTTGATGCATATCCCATTTGCCTTTATTGGTTTGATTTGTCTAACTGTCACCCCTATCTGTTGTGGTTTTATTTTCTGTGTTATTTGTTCCCTTATTTGCTGGATATCCTTTTCGGCATTTGATACATTATTTGGATAAACCAGTATTGCTACATTCCCTCTTGTTTCTATGTTTTTTATAATAGTTTTTGTTGTTTTACTTGCATTAACTACTGGCTGCATCTTTGCTACCTCTGCATATGTTGGTCGGTCATTATTTTTGTTCATTCTTTTTATAGATTCGTCTTTTTCTGCCCTGACTTCCTTAAGTATGCCATACATTTGGTGTACAACTGCATACATTTGTGCCACTCTACCCTTAATTTCCTTTCTGTCCTCTGTTTTAATGTTTGATTTGTATGGCTCCGGTAACAAATTCATTATCCTCTGCAAGTGTTGTTTTGCCTCCCTTAGTATCTTTTCCTCTGTTGTAGTGCATATTGTTTCATTGCTTATTATTGTTGAAATATCATTAAATTGTTCCTGGGAGGTGCTCTCAGAGTCATAAGTATCAATTAGTTTGGTTTCTTCCATTGCTAGGACTGGTGATTCGGGTAACTTAAATAATGCAATATAACCATAAATTTAAAATTAAAACTATAAGGCGTGTATGTGTGACAGGTGGCCCAGTGCCAAGCAGTTCTACACCCTTAAATCAAATTTAACAGTGCAGAACAAAAAGTAGCCTTAAAAATATACTATAACTTATACTATATCTTATTCTATAATTACCATTAATAATAATTAAATTAACAATAAGATGCTCTGCGTTACAAAAAATGTATCTAAATATTTGCTGTTGAAAACTTGTCTTGAAAAGTCAGAAAGAGATTCCAGCTAATGCAATCCTTTATAATTGCGCCGATCGGCTACGCTGAACGGCTAAATGACGCCGCGCCGGCTGGCTATGTTGAAACGTCCGTTGGAGAGACCGTTAAGGTCATTGATCCCGTTAAGTAGAGTGATTGATAAAATCTTAAACTTGTTATAATTTAAATTCTATTGTAAGTAGATTGCTGATTTTCGGTAATGTATTAGAAGACAATTCCCTGCAACCGGTGGTGTCGATGATTTTTCCGAAAATCAAAGGCCCGGCCCGATGCGGCCCGCCGAATGGAAAACACAAATGTCGAAATAAAATACGAACTAAGGGTTCTAGAATTACCAAAATTTGGGTTGTTACTCACTATAACCTTGTCCCTTCAATCGTCCAGTCACTTCCGGAAAAACGATCCACGCTGTCCGGTAAACCGAGTCCAAAAAACGCCGAACTTCTGGTGCTCGCCGCCAAAAAAACGGGTGGGCCAAACTCCAAACCGTCGACGTTGTTCGATTCCTCTTCTTATGGTGTTTCGATTGATGTATCACTTATGTTCGTGGGTGCACGTTCAGAGGAGAACAAGACTCCGTTGCCAAATCCGGATGAACGGTCATCCCTTTCCGGAAAAACGAACACCCAAAAAGACACTTTTCAACTGTCTATTTCTGCCGAAATATTGACCTCAGGGTCACGGCACTAGTACCATTAGACGCCTCTCGTCTAGCTGAATCCAACGGTATATGATTTGTTACTGTATGCGCACCATAAACCAAAATAATACTAATTAAACAGGAGCTGATGTTTACTCAACTTAGCAGAATCGCTACTCGACGCCCTCTGTCTGCTATAGACATTGTACTAAAGATATTAGAGGGCTGACCATTATGGGTACAGTCTTATGCCCTGTTAGAAAGTGAAAGAAGAGACAGCTTGAGATGTGAAGTGTGAAAGAAAGTGATAAAGGAAAGTGTGAAAGGAAGGCAAGGGACCAGAGAGCGCTTGCATCGGCCATTTATTAATAAAAAGACAAACATATATATACAAAACTGGACAAAAAAGTTACAAGGGTAACTGACAATTGAATGATAAAATTAAAAGTTACAGTAATACAAAATATAAACAGTATGCCAGCAACTGGTCGCTTTTACATAGTAGGATGTAACAAAATAAATTTCTCCCGCGAGTATAATACACATATTTAATGCAGTCTCAGACAATAAAGGTGGGAGCATTAATAAAGTCACTGCGTTAGAATGACTCGTCCTGTGTCGTATCGTCGTCCGTGTTATCGTCTTCATTGGTGTATTCTTCCTCAGTTGTTTCGTTTCCTTCGTTGTCTTGTTCATTTTCGGTGTTGTATTCCACGAGGGCTTTTGTTTTATATATGTAGTCTTTGAATGTTTTCCACAATGTTTTATCTTCGAAGATGTTCTTCGGTGTTGGAGGCCAATTCAGATGTTTAATTAGGTATTTTGTCATGAGTTCAGTCCTGTGAGTGTCAAAGTTAGGGCATAGAAAGGCGAAGTGCGTAGCGTCGCCTATTTCGGTGTCTGAACACATACACTTATCATTGTCACTGATTTTGAACCTATGGAGATAGGCGGGGAAATTCCCGTGTCCTAAGAGAACTTCGGTAGTGAGTTTATTCGGCACATAATGTTTGGCTTTCTGCCTTATCTGTATCGAGGAGATGTACTGGAAGCAGTTTCTCCCAGTCACCGCCTCCTCCCACTCCTTCTGCCATAACTTATTTATAATCTGTAGTAGATGTTTCTTCAGAGTTACCTGTGGTGTGTCCGTGAAAGAAGGCATTATGTTGGTATTGGCCCCTAATTTGGCCAGTTTGTCCGCAGTCTCGTTGCCCTCATTCCCGCTATGTCTTCTTATCCATCCAAAGGTTAAATTTCGTTTGGATCCTAGTATGTTAGCTGTTGAGTGTAGCTTATTTGCCAACGTTGTGGGATTATTCAGGTTGTTCAAGTTATGTAGCGAGGTTCTACTATCCGTAAGAATGCAAATGTTACCCTTTAAGATATCAATATTGTTTTCAATATATTGAATGGCCTTAAGAAGCGCATACATCTCCGCCTGCACGTTGTTACAGTGTGGGGTCATTTTATAGTAACATTGGTATGTTGTTCTGTTCCTAGCATTCTTAACAGTGAAGCCTGCACCGGTTCCATTTTCATTTTTCGAACCGTCCGTGTACAATTTCTATTTATATTTATTTTCACTATTATCCTCTTCCTCCCAACGTATTTTATATTTTATATCCTCTGCCGGGTGCTTGGTATATTCATCCCTTTTTAATTTTCTGTCAATTCCGAAGTTTATTTGCTTAAGGTCGATGATCGTATTGTTTTCCTTTAATTCCTGTCTCATCGGGGATGTGATGGCCAATTTGAGTGCTGTTTGTCGTAAGGTACCAGTACCATATCAAGTATTTGGCTTTAAGTTGAACCAGGAGGATGTTGGCCATAATTTGCAGCGCATTGGTTGGAGCGGTATTGTATGCTCTGTTAATTTTTATCGTGAACTTTCTTTGAATTGATGTTAATTTGCGCTTCATATGTACGTTGTCGAGGGCTTCTCTCCATACCTGAACCGCATATAGCATTGCTGGTTCGATGGCCGCTGTATAGATGAGTTTCGTGTTAGGAAAGTTTAGCCCCCACATTTTAGCTGTTATCCAATTCATTAAGTTCGCCTTCTGTTCCATTTGTTTACATATATTACTGACATGTGTGTGCCAATTAAGTCTGTCGTCGAAGTAGATACCTAAATATTTGATTTCCTGATCGATTTTTAATTTGTTTCTGTCTATAAAGATCCTTGGCGGTTTTTGCAGTCTGTTCCTTTTGTTCTTCCTGGTGCACATCATTCCTATAGTTTTACTATAGTTGATAGGGAGTTTGTTCTCCTTACTCCATTCGTAAATTTTTCCAAATGTTTGTTCGTAATTTCCTCTAATTTGTCTACGTTTTGGTGTGCAACCATCAGAAGGAGGTTGTCCGCAAAGGCTTGGATGGTATTATTATGGTCTTGTGGAAAAATATTTAGAAGTTCGTCACATACAAGGTTCCAGAGGCCCGGGCCGCTTCACGAGCCCTGGGGACATCCTCTGTTCGTGCCTCTGTTTACCGTGAAACTATTGCTTTGGTAGGTGATGTTCCTGTTATTTAGATAATCTTTAGTTAACTTATAGATATTTGCCGGGCACTTGGTGTTTCGAAGTCTACTGAGTATGCTCGGCCACCATAGGTGGTCGAACGCCTTGTGAAAGTGTATTTTTATAAGGATCGTGTGTTTGTTGTCTTTCCAAGCATCGTGTATCTTCTTCTTGGCCCGTAACGCGGCCTGAATAGTGGACTTCCCCGGTGTGAATCCAAACTGATTAATGTTTTGCTGCTTTGTGTTGTGAAGGTGCCAGTTTATACGGTCGATCATCAGGCCGTCCAGAAGCTTCCCCATTGTGGGTAGCAGGCTGATGGGCCTGTAATGTTTTGGTTCCTTTGGATTGTCATTTTTGGGGATAAGCTTTATATTCGCTATTTTCCATTTGTTTGGAAAATATCCCGCAATTAAACATGCGTTCAGGATATGGACAAAGGCGATAGGGATTTCCTTGTATGCTTCCTTGATCATCTCCGCTGTGATCCCGTCAATCCGTGCCATTTTATTATTCGCCATGCTCTTTATTGCCTTGGCTATCTCCTTAAATGTGAAAAGTCTATCATTTGTCTCGTTATTTGGGTTCTGAATATTATTCCTTATAATTTTTTGATTTCTAGTATTATTTCCTTGGCTGTCTTCAGGAAAGTGGTAATTCAGAATTTGCTTGACGTTATCCTCGATGTTGGTGTTGATATCTACGTCATTATCCGCTTCTGTGATATCAGGGAGGTATGATGTTATTTGCTTTTTTGTGATTATGTGGTACGGTAAGTCCCACGGCCCATTCCTGTTGGAGTCCGTGCAGAACTTCCTCCAGGAGTTAGTATGTGTCTTATTGATAAGTTTTTTGTACTGATTTAGGATGTCTTTATATTTATTCTTATAATGGTTTTCTTCACTCGTATTCTTTTTCTTGATAAACTTTTTCCTCATTCTGTTTACTTCTCGATTCATTCGGTTTAGTGTGCCGTTCCACCAATGAGTTTTCCTTGGCGGAACCTTTTTGTAGCGTAGCGCTTTCTCCCCTGCGGATTTTACCACGTTTGTAAAGTAGTTTGCTCGTCGATATCTTCATGGTTGTTGATCAGTGGAAAGTCGTACTGTTGCCAGATGTTAGCGAATTCCTGCCTGAAAGCAGTCCAGTTGGTCTGTCTAGTTTGGAAATAGTTTGTCCTGTGGTTCACAGTTGCAGTGTTGTCCTGTACTTGAGTTATAATATATCGATGGTCACTCGCCGAAGGAGCGAGAAGAGTTTCACAGTTGTTGATCCTATGGGATAGGTTGCTCGAGACCAGGCAGATGTCGGTCCATCCTTTTGCGAACGGTGTGTAAAACGTAGGATGTGTTGTCATATTTGTGGAGATAAGGTCGAATTCCTCCATCACGTCCGTTATCATTCTGCCTCTCCTGTCTTCCTTCTCATGGTACGAAACTGGCAATTTGCCATTAAGGTCCCCTATAATCATCATTTTGTTGTTTTTTAATTTCCTTAGTACATTAGATAGGTCCCTGATACACTCCTCGTCATCCTCTTCCGGCGAGAAGTAAACACAAATTAAAATGATTGGCTCAGTCAACTGTAGAATGGTGGTCGTGATATTGTCGCTACAGAGATGGGGGATTTTGGCTATGTCTATGTTGGAATAGCATACAATTATGCCACTTTTCGGTCTCGTATTTGTGTTGCCAGAGATCACCCTCCACCTTCCAAAACGTACAATTTTATTTTATATATAATACGGTTCCTGTATCCCAATAATATCAATCTTCCTTTCATTAGCAGTCTGGATAAGTTGAGAGCAAGCCGCCTTGCTTTTCTGCGTATTTATTTGAATTATGTTTATATTATTATTATTCTGATGTTGCTGTGTTATATTCGTTAACTGGGTATATTGTCTTTCAGTATTACAAGCCATAGTCGATTCTTTTAATTGCAGCTTCTTTCAATTTTTTGGTTATTGGGCAATTTGGATTTAATGCCCCATGGTTTGTTGGTTGTTTTTTTGTGTTTGGCAGACCTCTGTTGTTGCTATGACAGTTAACGCAGCAAGGCGGCTCCTGGAGTCGGTCACATTCAGTGTATCTGTGGTTTTCGCCACAGTGGGAACAGGCTTGTTCTTTCTCACAGTTTTTCGCTATATGTCCGATACCGCAGCAGTGGTAACATCGTACCATCGGTATATAATTGTCGACCTTTATAGTCGCCCAGTTTATTGATAAATGTTTTTCCCTGATTAATATATTTCGGATTAAGGGCATAATTGATAGTACTATATGCCTACAGTTTTCGGCATGTCTCCCTCTTGCGAGTATCGTGCTTATCTTGCATTCGTTGTTGGATTGTTCCTCCTCAATGTCTCCCCAAATACTGTTCTGTCTATAAATGTAGGGTACTACATTCTCTTCTTGTATTGATTGGGGTACATTTAGTGCAATAACTCTAGGTCTTCGCTTTTCTGATCTTTTGCACACGATTTTATTTTTAAGGCTTTGTACTTCCTTTATGGCTTTTTCTAGTGCCTCGCTCTGTTCCCTGTGTCTGCTATAGACATTGTAATAAAGGTGTAAGGAACCAAGTCTGTGCTTTATTTTTAGTTTACTTTTACTTTGCTTTATTATATTTTTGTTTGGGGCTTATGTTTGGTTAGGACAAAGGTTTCCTCACCCACCACCCTAACGTTCAAAACGAGAAGAAAAAATCGACACACCTGAACCAATTACGGTGTGATCATGCAAAAGATCGACACACTTAGATCGACACATTAGATCATGCAAAAGATCGACACATTAGAACCTGAAGCAGAACCCCTTCTGGGTTCTGCTTCAGGTTCTAATCAGCTTCTAAAGACGTTCGATGTCCGTTATAAGTAGAAATTCGATCGTTCATGTCGTTTAAAGCTTGAAATTTAAGTTGTAGGTTCGAATGGATTCACGTAATCCAAGTCGCGCATGCGCGATTGGTTACCCGTCATAGTTTGATGGGCGAATTAGAGCGTGTTGTGAATTAACTCCTGCCAGGCCATCGATAACAGCATCTCCTCTTTAAAATTTATGCACGTGTTGTTGGTGGAGGATATAAATATGTGCATAGCCTCTAGCCATTTGAGGTGTTCGATAGGAGGCGAATCATGGAGGAGAATGGCCTGGGAGAAGTTCGCTACTATATCCGGATCAGTTACATACGTAGCGAGGGCCGTGGAAGTTCTTCCGTGCCGAATATCGGCTAGATGCTCTTGTATTCTGACTCCCAGAGATCGTTTAGTGGAGCCTATATAAATCAGGTTCCTATCGCACCTGTTGTCCTTCACTGGGATGCTATAGATTCCAGGGCGTCTGATGGGGTTAGGAGGGTCCTTTCCATTACGTAAGAGGTTGAAGATGGTGGGACACCTCTTAAAAGCTAGNGGAAAGAATTGTAATTAATTACCATCCGTCTCTAAATAAAATTATTAAGAAAGTTGCCAGAAATAGAAATGTAAAAATAATTTATAGACGTAATCCTACAGTATATAAGCTCCTAAGAAATGATAAGAAAAGATATGAACGTAATAACATGACAGGAGTGTACTCGATACCTATGAAGGACCATAGATTTAACTCCGACCTAGTATATATAGGAGCAACTATGCGGAACCTAAAGAAAAGGATTGATGAGCACAAGTACTCAGTAAATAGGAGCCTTGATAGCACGGTCCTCGCAGCGTTTGCAAAGCAACAAGGAATTGAAGTATACTGGGATCAGGCATCGATTATTAAACCCACAAGATCGATACAAGCGGTGAAACACCTGGAAAAAGTTGAAATACACAAGGCACATACGACCGCGCAGTGCATCAACTACAGAGACGCCGAAAGTTTATCAACAGCATGGAGGTCCTTTTATGATGACATAGATTAAATATGGCAATGGCATAGGCGGCGTTTTTATAATAATAATTGATATAGAATATTGTTATTTTTAATTACTTACAGTTAAACTTATACATTTTATAAGTACACGCATGCACTTTAGCGTTAAGTCGTAAATTAGCGATGTAAAAAAATTTTTTGTATTTTTCGAATACTTTGTTCGTTTGAGTTCGAATTTTGAACTGAGGATGATCGATTAAAACGATCGAAAACGTTTTTCAACGCATTAAAAGTGTGCTGGAATAGAGAAAGGTGTTTGTTTTATATTTATATAATACTTCCAGTAAGAATTTAGTTATTTAGAGTTATGTATTATAAACAATTGATTTTATATTGTACCACATCTCGTGGTTAACAATTATAGGTTGAATAATGGCTTTCAAATATTGAAATTTATAAAATATTTAAAAACGTATTTACAAAATGTCATTATACATTTGTGTTAAAACCCAATTCGCTTGACCTTTTTTGTTTACATACCGTATTACAAAATACATAACACTTATACATTAACTTTTAAAACAGAGTTGAGTTTATATAATCAATTGAATATCTAGTATATCACCTCTCGTGGTTAGCAAATATAGGATGACTAAAGGCATACAGATAATGAATCTTGTATAATATTCAAAACATGTTTACAAAATTGCAATATGTATTTCTGTTGAGGCCCAGTTATCCTGACAAATTTAGTTTACATTCCGTAAGTCAATATATACTTAACGTTTATACACTGATTTTATGACAAGATTGTAATTTTAAATACCTTAGACTGTTTTTGTACTAAGATATTGTCACAGGTATTGTTAAATAAAGTTCTACATATTTCATTTTTACCGGATACACTGTTCGGTATTTGTTAATCTTCCGTTTCTTTTTCTGTCTCGTCTTCTGTGTTGCTATTCTCCTCTTCTTCACCCATTTCCATGTCGCTCTGTTGTTCCTGCTGTGAGTTGTTGAGCTGCGTCGCTAGTTGATGTTGCAAAGTGTCTGGCAAAAGAGCCTTTGTATTTTCAACAAACTGTTCAAAAGTTTTCCATAATTCTCTGTTCTCAAAGAGTTCCCTTGGAGCTGGCGGCCAGTTCAATCCATGTTGTACACATTCCCTATATAGAATGTGTCTCTGTTGCTCGTAGTACTTGCAGTGAAAGATGAAGTGTTTTCATCACCTACACTGGTTTCATCACAACTACATTTATTGTTCCTCCTCTTTTTTATGCGGTGTAGGTATGCTATAGACAGCGTTAAGAAAGACAGGCTGGAATAAATGGTATAGCCGTATGAGACTAGAAGAGGAGGAAGACATAGATGTTATTATGAAGGGGTTAGAGTGAAGGGGAATTAAAGAGCTAAAGGAACGAGGAAGGAAGCAACCCGAGAACCATGAGGATCTCATGGGCGTCTTGCATCGCATTTATTAAACAATAAACCATAAGAAAATACAGAACAGTAAGAAACATTTGATACAGCATGAACCCAACAGGATTGGGAGAATACAGAGTAAGAATAACATACATCGCGGATAATGCAATTACATAGCAAAACAAATATATGCATTATTGATACACGGATACCTTTTCTATTTACAAAACATAACACGCGCTACAGGTGGTAAGATTGGATAGGCCAACAAGAGTTACATAACCCGATACAAGAGGCAATACAACTGATACAGAGTGGGAAATACCCATTAAACGTGACAAAATAGATCCGGTCGACACTAGTACGGGAGATGGCGGAGGAAGGCTGATTACCTTAACTGAGTTTATTAATCTCACTAGCGAAGTCCTTTAGAGCCTTAGCAGTGTCCTTGTCACTGTAGATGATGTGTAGGTCACATGGCCAGAGGTGTCCCTTGTTGTTGATAATGTCAATGAGTTTCTTTCTCTGGAACACATAATGTGGGCACTTGAAGATATGCTATAGACACGTTTAAAAAGGGAGTAGAGGGCTGTCTGTCTTCAAGCGACAGACTTTTGCCCTATAGAAATAGGAAGGAAGGGAAAGCATGAGATGTGAAGTGTGAAAAGAAAGTGAAATAGGAAAGTGTGAAGGAAGGCATGGGACCAGAGGGCACCTCGCATCGGGCATTTATTGAAAATCAAAATAAACATGTACAATATTTACAATTATATCATTACAATTTTAGGTCCCGACAATTAATGCTTAAAAATTATGTACAAAACTTTTGTTAACATTTGTTCTTTATGGGAATATATACATAATAATAATATAGTTGGACTACTACTTGTAGTCCAAAAGAATAATGTTAAATATGGGTTACAACCTGGGTATAATTTATCCCGACAAAACTCTAGTAAATAATTATTTTAAAACAAAACTATATATACAATTTCTACCACCCCTGTGGTAGGTTACATTGTGGTATAATATTGGTCGACATGACCATTCCAACTGAAGTCTTCATTTCCATCGTCGTCTTCATCTTCTTCCTCTGCACTGTCTTCTGTCATGTCTGCCATTTGTTCTTCTTCTGGTTTGTCCGTTTGTTCGTCTTCTTCTGCACTCTCTACACTATGTGAATTTACTATCCTGTTGTTTTCTGGTTCGTCCTCACTATTGTCCTGGTCACTTTCATTGTGTCGATCTATGTTGTTATATACTGTTCTAGAGCTTTGAACAAATTTCTGTTCATCACTATGTCGCACTCGTTGGGGGGCCAGTTATGACCCGCCCGCAAACAATTTTCAATGAGGAGGTCACGTTGTCTGTTGTACTTTGTACAATCCATTAGGTAATGGTAGGCGTTATCTTCTTCCTTTGTGTCAGTGTCACAATTAGGATTATTTACTTTTTTGAATCTACATAAATATGCTTTGAAGTTCCCGTGATTTGTGATGTATTGGGTCACTCCAAAGGAAAGCTTGAATATTTTGTTCTGTAACCTTTGTTTAATTTTTGGAAAAAATTTAAAACAATGTCTTCCGGTCATTGAAACTGTCCATTCTTGTTGCCATTGTATTTCCGTTTCTTCTCTTATTTCCTTCACTGGTATTCTGGTATAATTTTCCTTTGAGTTTATTAATGTTGCACGTTTAGCTCACTGGTCTGCTTTTTCATTCCCTGTATGTCCTTTGTGTCCAGGAATCCAGTTAAAACTTATTCTCCATTTACTTTGCATTCTTTCAGATAAATCAATTACTTCATTTATTAATTTTGTTTTTCTGTTTTTAGATTTTAATAAATATAGCGCCGTCTGACTATCCGTAAATATTTTTATTTCGCTTCTATATCTATTTTTATTTTTCTGTATATATTCAAGGGCCTTGAATATAGCAAAAATCTCTGCTTGGACCATTGTACAGTACTTAGCCATCTTTAACGATGCCTGGTACATCATTTGTCCTTCTTTCCCTATTATCACTATTCCACTACCTACTCCAGAGCTAGTTTTCGATCCGTCAGTATATACTGTTATATGATTTCTGTTATTATTGGTTTCTTGCATTTTCATATTGACTTTGTAGCTCTCTTTTTCCGCTGGATTTATGATGGTTGTTGTTTTATCGATATATTCTGTTTCGTTTTCCATGATCATTTTGATTAGTTGTTTGTTGTTCGGAAGTTTACCTTCCTTTATCTCATTTGAAATTTCTTCCTTTGTTTTAGTTTTTATGTTTTCTCTTATCAAATTATGTTCCCAGATTATATCTTTTGCTACCAAGTGAAGAGGTTTTAGTTTAGCAAGCACCAATAGGGCGTCTGTTGGTGTGGTCCTGTATGCCTTGCATATTCGTATTGCTGCTTTTCTTTGAATTGTTGCTAATTTTCTTCTATTGTGATATTTTTGTAATGCTTCTCCCCAAACTTGTATTCCATACATAACTCCAGGTTCTATTGCTCCCTTATATATCATACGTGTGTTTGTTGGATTTAGACCCCATGTATTTCTACTTATATGTTGAATTAAGTTTGTTCTTTCAATCATTTTGGTATATATTTCTTGCACATGCGTTTTCCAGTTAAGACTTCTATCAAAAAAGATTACCAGATATTTCATGTTCTGAACATTTTTAATGTTTCTCTCTCCTATTTTAACTCCTATTGGTTTTTTAAGATGATTTCCTTTATTCCTTCTTGTACACACTAATGCTTCACATTTTGCATGATTTATTGGCTGTTTATAGTTTATACTCCAATAATTTATTATCTTTAGTATTTTGTTTGATTCTTCTCTCAATCTGTCGCAATTTTGGTTGGCTATCATGACTAGTGCATCGTCTGCAAAAGCCTGTATACGTATATTATCACTATTTGGGATCCTGTTTAGTAGGCTATCAAATGCAAGGTTCCAGAGGCCAGGCCCACTTCTGGAACCCTGCAGGCACCCTCTTGTTATTTCTTTAGTTATTGTTATATTTTCCGAATAGAAACCAGCCCTCCTGTCAGTCAAATAATCATTTAATATATTTTTCAAGTTTTGTGGGCATTGTATTTCATTTAGTCTTTCCATGATGCCCGGCCACCACATATGATCGAACGCTTTCCTGAAATCTATTTTGATGAGTATTGCATGTTGTCCTTTGTTCCACGCCGTTAATACAAATTCTTTTACCTTGAGTGCAGCGTCAATTGTAGACCTTCCTTGTTTAAACCCGTATTGATTGTTATTCATTAATCCATTTTTGTGTTGATACCAATTTATTCGTTTAATTATTAAACCGTCCAAAATCTTTCCCATGACAGGCAATAAGCTTATTGGTCTGTAATCTTCCAGGTTTTCAGGATTTTCTTTTTTTGGGATTAGTTTTACATTTGCCTGTTTCCAAACAGATGGGAAATGTTGTAGTCTCAGGCATTCGTTGTAGAGATGTACTAGTGCTATGGGTATGTAGTCGAAAACTTTTTTAATCATTTCTGCAGTAATTTGGTCTAAACCAGGACTTTTCTTATTTGCTAACGATTTAATCGCTTTCTCAATTTCTTTAAATGTAAAAATATTATCTTCTTCTTTTGATGAATTTACTTGTGCTAGTTCCCTTATGTTTTTGTGAATGTTTAAGTCTTCTGCTGTATTATCATTAGGAAAGTGAAAATCGAGAATCTTTTTTATGTTTTCTTCTATATTTATATCTTGTTCTGCGTTTTTGAGAATGTTCGGAATGTGCGTTTTTTCTCTTCTCTTGAAGACCAACTGATATGGTGTTGCCCATGGGTCTGTCCTATTTAGTTTTCCGCAGAATTCCTTCCAAGCTGAATTCCTTTGTTTGTTAATTTCTTTTTTATATGTTTTCAGTGTTGCATTATATTCCTTTTTTTCCTTCTTTTTCTTCGTTTCATCTGTTATCCTTTGTATCTTTTTCCGTATTCTTCTGATTTGTCTTCTCCTGTTTGTAAGGTCCTGTGTCCACCAATGTGTTGCATTCTTCTTTATCTTTTTAACTTGCATGGTTTCGTTACTGGTTTCTTTAATAATCTTTGTAATATAATTCACATAATTGTCCAGCTCTTGTTTGTTGTTAATTTTATGTGACGTGTAATCTCTCCATTTTCTAGCAAATGTCTCTTGAAATAATTCCCAGTTAATGTTTCTTATTGTAATACTTTTTTCTTGATCTATTTTCTGGTTCAATTGCAGTTTTGCAATTATATAGCGATGGTCACTCGCCGATGTTTGTAATAGTGTTTCGCAATTCCGTATTTTGTGACTGAGGTCAGTTGTGTTTATAAATATATCCGTCCACCCCTTAGCAAAACCAGTGTAAAAAGTTGGACTTGTTGACATATTTGATGAAATCATGTCTATTTCATCCATTAAGTTATTCAATAATCGTCCCCTTTCATCTTCTTGCGGATGAAACCACGTTGCTGATTTTGCGTTCACGTCTCCTACTATTATTATATGTTTATCTCTAAAGTTTCTTACTATTTTTTCTAGTTCTGCAATGCATTGTCTGTCGTCAGAGTAGGGAGATAAATAAATATTTATTAATATTATTGGTTGTTCTTGGTTAATGATTATTGTAGTAAATATTTCATTACTATATTGAGGAATTAGTGCTATTTCTATATCTTCTTTCCTTACTACAATCCCATTTTTCGGTTTTTTTGTTTCCGCTATTCGATATAATTCTCCAGTTGTTGTATCGTACAATTTTATTATTAATTGTATAAGGCTCTTGTAACGTTATCAAATCTACATCCATATCGTTCGCCACCTTGATTACAGCCGAACTTGCAGCTTTGCTTTTCTGAACATTAATTTGAAGGATTTTATAATCTATTTTTTTAGTTGTATTCCTTACTAAATTTGTCTCCTTATTATTATTACTTGTTGTGTTAAAGTCCATAATCTGTTCGTTTAATGGCTGCTTCTTTTATTCTTTTCGTAACAGGGCAATCTGGGTGCAGTGCTCCGTGATTAGTTGGATTCATTTTATTATTTGGTTTTAACTTGTTCTCATTGTGACAATTTACACAACACGGTGGCTCTTTCAATCTATCACACTCATCAAACCTGTGGTTTTTGCCACAATGACTGCAACTTTGTTTGTTTTTACATGTTTTTGCCATGTGGCCCGCCCCGCAGCATCTAAAACATCGTAATAGTGGCACAAAATCATCCACTTTCACTGCAGCCCATTCTATAGATATGTGTTTTTCTTTAATCAGTATATTCCGTATTTGCAGAGAGACAGACAACACCACGTGCCTACAGTTTTCTTTTTGTCTTCCTTTCGTTATTATTGTACTTATTTTACATTCTATATCAAATTTATCTTTCTTTATGTCTTTCCATATATTATTTTGATTGTATATGTTTGATATTATATTATCCTCTGTTATATAGTTTGGAAAATTTAAGAGTATTATCCTTGGTTTACGTCCTTCCGATCGTCTACATTTGATTTTTTCTTGCATTTTTGGTATCTCATTTATTACTTTTTCAAGTATTTCGCTTTGTTCTTTAGTACCTACTCTTATACAGATACCACTACCTTTGACTTCTTTTACTGCCGTTATCTTAATTTTTAATTCCTGTGGTTTAATTTTGCTTTTTAATTCTTCCATTATTTCATTCATATCTATCACGGAACCATCTTCTTGATCCTTAGGATATAAGAGCACTGCATGCGAACTCCCAGTACCTTCTGTATTTATTTTCCGATCTATCAATTTTTGAATTTTCTTTGTTGTTTCGCTTGGTATTATATTACGTTTAGTGATTTCACTGTACGTTGGTTGAGTGACTATTTGTTTTATTTGGTTACTATTTCTAACTTCTTTGACTATTGCATTCATTTCATGCAAGTATCCGAAAAGTTTAGTTGCTGCTTCTCTGATCTTTATCCGCTCTTTCTGTTTTATACTTGTGCCAGCATGTTCTGGACACATTTCCAAAATCATATGCTATAGACACTTAAAGGAAAAGGAAGGCCGAAGCCGGAGAGGCATAGCCTATTGGAGAGAGGGAGAGAGTGTGAGGAGAGGGTAGGGTGTGAATAGAGAGAGGGGAAGGGGATCTATGAGGTCCTGCACGGGTTCCGTTTATTGAACATTAAAATTTACAGAATATGGGTAGTATACCAAAGTACAGAGATGATCCCGACAGTTAACGGATAAATATATACAGTACATTTGAGCTACAATAATAACAGAAAACCACTAGGACCAACAGTGGCGATGGCAAACAGTCAGAAAACAAAAGGTCCTTATTAGCACATACAGAGAATAATTGGCGGGTTGAGGTCCAATGATGGCGTCCAACAAACCAGTCCAGAGAAGAGGCAAGATGGTGTGAGGAGCACCAACAGGGCGTCCCAACGAGACAGATAGGTGGGTTGGTAGAGCAAAGCAGTTCTACGGTGGGTAGAGCCGTCCCTGTAGAAATCGATGCCAGTAACAGTGAGGTGGGAGGGGGCAACGAGGCTTAGCTGAGGATCTTGATTTCCTTACTGAAGGTAACCAGCGCATTGTAGAGGTTCTTGCAGCTAACAATTACTTCCGGTTTGCACGGCCACGCTATGTTCTCATTGAGGGCTGCTGTGATTAACCCCCTCCTTGCGTCGTTGAAATGGGAGCAGTAGAAAAGAACGTGTTCACTGTCCATCCACTCTGATTTTTTTGAGCTTAGTCTGGTTAGCCGGTGAGGTCGTGGTATTTAGTGCTCCGTACTTCAATCGCGATTAGTTTGGATTAACTATCCCAAATTTGGATTATAATACACCAGAAGATTCATCTTCACACAGGGACTACGTGAGTAGAAGAAATATATCAATCGGACGATTATTTCTGGAGTTCTGGACTGTTAAACCTTCGGACTTTGTTTTTCTCCATCGGGTTTCCTGACGGTTTTGGATTGTGTGAAAACGGTATTTTATAGCGTGTATCTATATATATATTGTCTGGTAGTTTGATGTCTGTATGATACGCGGAACGCGAGTTATATTGTTCTTAAGGTTTTACCGTTAACAAAGGTTTTCCGAGACCACGTGGTCGGTCAGCCATTCGGCGTAACTCTGGTCGTTCGGTGTTCCACGGGTCATGCTCGTCCGCTTCGTTATTTCAGTTTCAACTGTCACAATTGTATCGTGTTGTGCTCGACCCTTTGCGGTCCGTGTTGTCGGTTATTTTCTCTGTTCGTACCGGTATCGCTCGGTACACCGTTATCGCCACTCGGCGCTTTTCCGCCGATCGGCGTTGGTGTGGCTTTCGTGGATCCAGTATTGTGACAAACTGTCTTTCAGTCAGCGCCTTCTGGACGTAGTGCTTACCGTTACAAGTGTGCGTCAGATAACTAACGTAGCCACTCTTAAGTTCAAGGTGGTGACCGACAAGAGTGCGTTGGGTAACCTTCTTGGTTGACGCACTTGTTGTACCTCAACCTCTCCCTGGGACACAATGGAGGATTTTCTTAAAGGCGCCTATGACATAATAGAAGAATTTAAGCAATATACATTAGATAACCCGAATGGCAAACTCTGTTCAGGAGGGCACACTAAATATGTCATAGAACAAATGACAAAGATCATTTCCCTAGCCAAAACCAAATTTAAAACAACAGATCTCATGGCAAAGATTAACAACCGCTTAGATAAGATGGCCACTAAGGAAGACTTGGCAAAGACTGCCAATTCTGACGATTTATTAGGCACTCAAAAAATTATTTTAGATAAATTGAAGGAAGTAGAGGAAAAAACAACTCGATACATTCCTCCCACACCTCTATACAGTTCTGTGGCGAAGACTGGCACTACGAATGGCAACCATGCTGCAATAAAGACTTCTCCTCCTAAGGAGGTCTTGCTTGTATATAACAAAGATAATGGATGCACTAACAGCGATACAGTTCGCAAGATTATGCAATCCAAACTCAAGCCATCATCCTTACGAATCGGTATAGATAAGTTAAGGAAAATAGGAGGTGGAGGTATAGCGATTGAGCTAGGAAGCAAAGATGAGGCTGCTATCCTCGAAAGAAACATTGAGGAAAAGGTAACAGAATTGATGACAAAGCGACCGAAGAAGAGGTGGCCCCATATGGTAATCTACTCCGTGCAGACCGATATCAATAGGGAAAAATTACCTACCCTAATATATGAACAAAATGATATAATTAATGGACAATTCACAACCGAAGAGTTCGAGAAACAATTTCATATCAAGTTTATCTTAGGAAAACGTGACTCTAAGTACAAAAACTGGGTTGTGGAGGTGTCCCCTGACATCAGAAAGACCCTGTTACACCTGGGAAAAATCAGTATAGAGTGGTCACGCTGCAGGACTGCTGACTTCTGTCCGGTCCTGCAGTGTTTTAAATGCTGCGAGTACAACCATGCCGCTAAGGATTGCCCACACTCGACACCTAAATGCAGCCACTGTTCAGGTGAACATCTTTANGGTTTCAACTGTCACAATTGTATCGTGTTGTGCTCGACCCTTTGCGGTCCGTGTTGTCGGTTATTTTCTCTGTTCGTACCGGTATCGCTCGGTACACCGTTATCGCCACTCGGCGCTTTTCCGCCGATCGGCGTTGGTGTGGCTTTCGTGGATCCAGTGTTGTGACAAACTGTCTTTCAGTCAGCGCCTTCTGGACGTAGTGCTTACCGTTACAAGTGTGCGTCAGATAACTAACGTAGCCACTCTTAAGTTCAAGGTGGTCACCGGCAAGAGTGCGTTGGGTAACCTTCTTGGTTGACGCACTTGTTGTACCTCAACCTCTCCCTGGGACACAATGGAGGATTTTCTTAAAGGCGCCTATGACATAATAGAAGAATTTAAGCAATATACATTAGATAACCCGAATGGCAAACTCTGTTCAGGAGGGCACACTAAATATGTCATAGAACAAATGACAAAAATCATTTCCCTAGCCAAAACTAAATTTAAAACAACAGATCTCATGGCAAAGATTAACAACCGCTTAGATAAGATGGCCACTAAGGAAGACTTGGCAAAGACTGCCAATTCTGACGATTTATTAGGCACTCAAAAAATTATTTTAGATAAATTGAAGGAAGTAGAGGAAAAAACAACTCGATACATTCCTCCCACAC